ACAGACAGACAGACAGACAGATAGATAGATAGATAGATAGATAGATAGATAGATAGATAGATGGATAGATAGACGGACAGACAGACAGACAGATAGATGTCAGACAGACAGACATATAGATAGACAGATAGATGTCGGACGGACAGACAGACAGATAGATAGATGAATAGATGGATGGATGGATGAATGTGCGGTTGAAGCAGTGCGTCTATCACTCAGACTAATAAATGTGATTGACATGAAGCTCTGTGGCCAAAATAACTTCTCACTTTTTTTTTTTTACACCATTAAGAAAATTGGTCACACTTTCTGTTTGCCACTTCCCATCTCTTAAAATAGAAGGCACGGGGATCATAAGGAGGAAACCGCAGCGGGCATCATGGGAAATAAATCTCAGCAGCCTCTTAAATAAATGAATTAAGTGGGCAATTTGCCTGGCCGACTTCATCCTGCAAGCTCTAATGCAAAGTGGCATTTTCCCACCTGCGTTCGGGCGGATTTATGAACTCGGCTGGATTACATCCTGAACTGGTAAAATAGTGCGGCTCATCCCAGACGCACAGACCCTGTGTCTGTCTTTCAGTTTTATTGATCCATTAATTCATCCTCTGTGAATTTACAAGCACAGAATATACGAAGGGATGGGAGGAGGTCAGAGATGGAGACGGGGAGATGACATGGCCAGCGATGGAGGGTATATAAGTGCAGGACAGAAACAAGACAGACACGTTTAAACGAGACCCTCTTGGCTAAAGTCGCGGAAGAAAGAGAGTTTGTGTGTGTCTGTACGTGTCGTCATGATGTGTAAACTCTTTCTATTCTTTGCTTTGCTTCTCAGTGTCCTCGAACCACTGCTGGGACATCCGCTGATCCATTCGGCAGAGATGACCTACGCCAGGCCTGGTAAGAGCTTTCATCTGCTCTCATTCACACACACTGATTCAACAAGCTAAAGTCTACAGGTTCAAATCTCAGGTTTCTCCAGGGATTTGTGAAGGGTAACTGCTTAAATGACAAGACTGTAAAAACATGATTCATCATCAAAATTTGACTATGTGCTAAAATATAAAATGTGTAATATACAGTATAATAGGCCCTATATAATATAATATAATTTAATATAATATTGCACAACTGTTTTCAACATTGATATTGGCTGAAAATTCAGCTTTGCATCACAGGAATAAATTCCATTTTAAATTGTAATGATTTTTCACAGTATTACTGTTTGTACGGTATTGATATTATAAATGTTCTTAAAGACAGACTGATGTTATATGTCATGTTCACCTGTAGTTCTTGTAGAAGAGGAGCAGGTGGTCAGTCCAGACGACCCGAGTTACTCCAAGCAAGCGTATCTGTCCCAGGGTGCCGCGGGATTCGGTTACCCGTCCCTCTTCACTGGAGACATCAGCAGTGATGGTGAGCGGCTCATTTCAATATGCTCTTCGCTGAAACTTGCTGTGAATCCAGAGGACAATTTAATTGCTTAGATCTTGCTCTTAGAAATGCTTTCCAGTCTTATTTTAGTATCACTGAGATATTATTATAGTTTTTATTAATATTTTAAATTAGTTTATATTAGTCCAGCAATTATAGGAAGTTAAATGATAAATTATTATAAATAATTATACATAAAATATTAGAAATAATGATACATTATTTATAATAATTAATACAGTTTTTGTAATAATTTACATTTAAATTGTAAGTTACAGTAACAGAAAGGATTGATATCAGCAGCTGGATGTAACTCACTCTTATCTAGTCTTGTTCTTCTTCATTTCCCTCTCAGGTCTCAAAACAGCTGGATTTGTCCCGAGTCAAGCTGCAAAAGAAGTGAGTGATTTAATGAAACCCATGACATCATTGAACATTATATCAACAGACAGCTATGAAGGATTATTTAAACATACTGACTCACGTTTGTCGTTCAGGTCTTGCTGGAAAAGCCGTTGAGTCGTTTCCTGGGCGGCAGGAAGCAGTATCGCAAACGAGGCAGCAACACAGAGTGTTTCTGGAAATACTGTGTCTGAAACATCCAGTTAATAACACTCAAGCACTTACACACTTACAGTACATGCACCTACGTGTTCTCATGAACTTTACGTGTAATTTTCAACACTCGTGCACAAACTCTGTGGGCCTGATGCACTAAATTAGCAAAGAAATATATTTATGTTTGTAGGAAAAATAGTGGATAATTTATTTGTACATACTTGTACATGCTTTAAGCTTTGATGTAAATAAAGAAAATATGTTTAAAAAAAGTTAGTGTGCTTATTACTTTAGACAATTAAAGAGAATACAAAAAGAAAAAACTGAAAAATATGAGAATTGTATTTAAAAACAACAGTGTTTGAGTCATTGAGTTCTTTTATTCATAGTTATCATGTAGTGTCAAAATATTTCCCTGAATTTGACAAAATGTTTTTTTTTCATACAGTTTGTTGTATTTTGCACCTTTTTTTTTTTCTCGTAAAATACATTGGACTGATATTTACACTTCTTTCTAAAAACTGTACAAAGTGTATCTTTGATCACAAAACTGTACATATCATAGGTTTTCTGTTGGGTGGGACTGACGGGTCAGTAATCGGGCCTCTGGCAGCTCTCTATTACTGCAGCAACCTACAAAACATAAAGGAACGGCGTCTAATCTGACTTCAGGAACAGCACAGCAAACACGCTCACAACGACACACGTCAGATCAGTACAGATTAATAAATAAAGACGAGATGACAAAAATTAGGTTTGGAGAAAATTATACGGTAAACTGCGGTGTTTTTCTTTTTTTTTCATCTTTTTGTGTACTTTATGATGGATTTGAGAAGTTTTATATTTTTAAACTCTCAGAAAAGGTACAAAAGCTGTCTCTGGGGCATTACCTTCTCAAAAGGTATTAATACGTAGCTTTGAGGTACTAATATGGACCCTGTAGTGGTAAATAAGGTACAAAGGTGTACCTTTTAAAGGGTACTGTCCCAGCGACAGTATAATAATATATACTATATAATAATAATAATAATAATGCATAAATATAACTAATTTAAAAAAAAACATTACGATTGCATTTCTATTTTTGTATTTTGACAATTAATCAGATTTTCCTCCCAAATTCACATCACGAAAATAAATGTCACAATGTCAACAATAATGATCATCATTTTTTGATGTAAATTTATATAAATCTTTTTTTTTTTTTTTTTTTACATTTATTTATAATTTTGTTTTAATTTTCAACCCATCAACCCAACAGACACAACAGAAAAATATCTGCATATTCCGATTACACCATCACTGTGAGTTTTATACCAGAGTAAGACATTGCTTGACATCATTCAATCACATGTATATTGGAAAAAATATTTGAAATTGAGAACAGAAAACACTGACAGAAAAACTAATTTAAGGCCTCATTCAAATTATTCATTTGGATTGGATGAACTCGGTAAGGAATGAAGAACTTTGTGCTCTGGACCAAATATCATTCATTTCCATTTGTAGATGCTGTTAGATTTTGGCGGTGAGTGCTAATGTTTTTATACGCATTTATATCTGCGCAAGTGTTCAGGAAACTCATTACAGGGACTTCTGGGCGATCATAAACCCTCCTGAGCCTGCAAGATTCAAGATTCAGTAGAGGACACATTATTAATGAAAAAAACCTTTCTTAAAAAAAAACATTTGGGCAACAGTCTAAAAAATATGAAGAGCTCCTATGACACCACTACCAAATTATAGTCTGATATTCACAGCTGTTTGGGTCCATGGACTGTAACGGAGAACAGCAGAGAGAAATGCATGGTCATGTGACGACCGTCACTCAATGTCCGTCTCCTGCGAGTGTCCAAACTCTCTCTGACGTGGTTTGATCGAGTGCAAAGTGCTTGCCTCGTTTCGTGAACTCAGGAGGAATTATGAGAGACTGGCACACGGATGCGGGTGTCTCTCTCTTCCTACAATTCCCAGCTGAAAGCAGAAGAATCACTGAGTCCCAGAGGGCTGGTGTCTGTGTCGGGTCTAGCGTCCTATGATGGACAGTAGCGGTCAGGAGTGGGAGGGTTTGGAGAGTCAGTCTGAAGATGCAGTTCTTCACCTGGTTCCATGGTGTTACAACTCACACAACCCTAAAAAAAGAAATAAATATGTTATCATGATGAAACACAATAAAGATAGCAGTCGAATAATGCAAAGCAGCAAGTCAGCATATTAGAATGATTTCTGAAGGATCATGTGACTCTGAAGACTGGAGTAATGATGCTGAAAATTCAGCTTTGATCACAGGACTAAATTACATTTTAAATATTAAAAAAAATAAAATAAATAAATAAAAAAATACCAACCTGAAACTTAGTGTAAACAGTAGTGTAAATGATTAATATAGCAAAAATAGTAGACCCTCAGTGGTCTCGACATCTTTGACTGGATCTAACAATTGGTAGTAATCAAAATTAAATCATAGCATCATAACATATTCCTTAGATATTTTGATAAACTTATAATCAAGTTAATATAGAAAAATATTTGCAATTATAAATGTATTTTAAGATATTTTTATATATTTTAATAATTTGCAACACATTTACATTCATTCATTTAAACCTGTATTTCGGACATTTTATAAACATGGTTGCAAACCACATATCAAATTAATGTAAAATAAAACATTTAGCGTTACCTCCTGATGAGCAGGGGTATTATAGTTAACTAAAACTAAAACCATACAATTATTTTTGTTACTTGAAATAAAATAAACATGAACTGAAATAAAATACATTAAAAACTTAAACTTCTTTTATTTCAGCTAGTTGCCAAGGAAACATTTCTCATTTTCATTTAGTTTAACTTGATGTACTAACCATACAATTATTTTTGTTACTTGAAATAAAATAAACATGAACTGAAATAAAATATATAAATATGAATAATAAAATATAAATATAAATAAAAAATATATATGTACTGTAAAAAACTAAAATTTCAGCTAATTGTCAAAGGAACATTTAGTTTAACTTGATGTTCTAAAATAACTAAAGCTAAAATAAAAATGTATTAAAAGCACTATATAGACATTTAAAACTACTAAATGTACTAAATCTAAAACTAATAAAAACGACAAAAACAAAAATCACAAAAAAAGTGTATTTTATATATATATATACACAGTATATACAGTATATATATATATATATATACACACTGTATATACTGTGTGTATATATATATATATACACACTGTATATACTGTATATATATATATATATATACACACTGTATATACTGTATATATATATATATATATACACACTGTATATACTGTATATATATATATATATATACACACTGTATATACTGTTTGTTTTATTAAATTCAGATCCAACCACTATTGAAAGTGCCATATATTGGAACAATGTGCATTATCCAAGTCTGTCGTAAGATAAGATTTTATAATTGCTCTTCTGTTAATCGGCCATGCATCCACTCATAAGTAGACCATCTCAAATTAAAGAATATGGCCAATATACTGGCCTATAACAATACATATTTTTGATCCTGATGTAAATAAGTTGTAGACCTGTGTGTTGATCTCCTGTGGGACCGTGTTGATGGATCCAGGGATGGACCTCGGCCAGCTCCTTCTTCTGGTCCTGGGTGAACCAGGGCTGCATGGGCTGCATCAGAACCAGCTTCTCCCTGTCTTCTTGAAGAACCTGGGCCTGATCCCTGCATGGATATCCACACACACAAAATAAAACTCACTTACGCTGCCTCATACGTTTGTTTGATGACACTCGACAGCACACTGCTTTGATTTCAACATCTTAATACTGTAAAAACATCTAAGCCTGGCAGATTCGCCCTCTCCTCCGTTCATAATAAGGTGCTTGTGTCACCTCGTCAAGCTCTTTATCACGGGTCTCATTGTGTACCGTCACCTGGAGTCACCTACCTCAGGGCTGACGCAATGAGACATTTAGCTTGATCAGAACTACCTCGGCAAGAGAGCCTGGCAGCGCTATCTCTTTCTCCTGTGGAAAGAGATGCTCAAAATGTCACGTTTCTCTCAGGTTTCTCAGAGGAATGAGAGGGGAACCCAGGATTCAGAGAAAGAGAGAGCGAGAAACGTTCCGGGTCTGGTACCTGGGAATGATCTGATAGGTCATCATGACGGGTTCGGGTGTCTGCTTGATCATGCTCCATAACGGGTTGTCCACATGCATTTTGAAGGTCGTATGCTCCCTTTCTTGGGCCTCCGTGGACTTGCGCGCTTTCCGCGACGTGTCCGACGAATCGTTGCTGGCGAAGTACTTGCTGCTATTGCTGCTGCCTGTGAACGTGAAACGTTAGGGGTCAGTTTAATGAAACTTTTGTGTTTCATATAAAAAAAGGAAGTCATACAGGAACAAAATGAGGGTGAGGAGTTTCATTTTTAATTCAATTTCCATTAAAATAATTTTCTGGAAGACGTTTATGTAGTAGAAATTATGTAACTGATTAAACACCATCCAAAAAAAAATTAGGGTGGAAATGGCATTTAATAAATAATAAATGCCATTTTAAATTTATATTTTTTATTTTATGTCTGCAATTTCATATGTGTATGGCTGATGGTAAAGCACTATAATACAAAAAAATAAAAAATACACCTAATTTTATACATGGGGAATGATCTATTTTTATTGGTATTATATAGCTTGAGCATCAGCCATACACATTCAAAAATGCAGAAATATAATATAAAATAAATGAAATATTTATGAAAAAATATTTAATTAAATAAATTAAATATACATTTTAACACATTTTACACAATATTTCACTCAAAAAAAAAAACGATATATTATATATTTACATATTTATTACATTCATAGTAATTTAATAAAATATTATTGAATGCTATTTAAATATTACTTTAAAATTTTGTTTTAAGGAATTACTGACTGACACAAGGATGAAATACCATTTCTGTTAATAATCTCAAAGGACAGAAACAGTCCAACTAACTGACGACTAATTAACCTATCACTAGTTCAAACCCTAGATAGGTTGATCTATTATAGTTAACCAAAACTTAGGCTACGTCCACACGAAGCCAGAGCTTTCCCTATCCAATCTTTTCTTTCCCCTCGTCTCAAGAAATATCTGCGTCCACACGACTAAGGCCCTTTCCAATTTTTACAAAATATGTACGTGTATTCATATATATTTTAATGTTTAACATTTAAAAAAATACTTTTCGTACGAAATTTTACAAAAATGTTAATACTTTATATATTTTTAAATTACTGACACAAAACGATGTAGTATACATGCCAGACCAGCATGTGGCGCTGTATTTCTGCTACAGAGATACACTAAAAACTGAGAAGAAGACTTGGACTATGTGCATAAACCTTGCGCGTGGTATACAAACAAACATGGAACAATACATTGATTACTCTGTGTTAATGTTAGTTAATAAAAAGACAATCGTTCAGTGTTTGTTCATGTTTTTGTTGCTGCTACGTGGCGTGGCGTAGCGTAGCGGTGTCTGACTAGGGGCGAGACATGGGCTGATGATTTCATAAATTATACGGATTCGCTGTACACATGAAAATGCAAGGGCGGCGTTTTTAGATTTATCCACTCTGGGACCCGGTTTCAAAAAATATCAGTTTCACTCTCCCAAAACGCCGGATCCGTCTGGACGAAACGCCTATACGATACAAAATTGATGTGTATACAGCTAAACGTGTCTCCGTGTGGACGGGGCCTAAGACTGAAATTTAGAACAAAACAAAAATCATAACAAAACAAAATTTTTTTCTGATAATGGAAATTCAATGCAAAAAAAACATGCATAATTCTTTCCACACAACATTCAGTGTCATGGACGAGTGATTTTGAACAGCACCGGTATGGCTGGTAGATGTTCCGTTAGAACAGAGTCCCGACTCCCCGGAGCCACTGCCTGAAGCGTTTTTAATATTTTACTACATTTTTGAAATAATTATTATAATAGCAGTATAACTGGACCCTTAAGGCTTTTTAACATCAACTTTTGATGTTGAATATATATTTCTAATGCATTTTACCTTCATATTTAAATATTTTAATAATAATTAATATAATAACATAATTGGTCTCTTACAGCCCTTCCACATGAATGTTTAAAATATTTTAAATATGAATTTTATTAAATATAAATTTATTTTATTATAACATATTTATATAAATTTAGTTTATTAAATATATTCTAATATTTTACTTAAATATAAGTATTTAAGTATTTTAAAAATAAATAATTATATTGGTCTCTTAGGGCCCTTTGAAGTGATTTCTTATAAGTATTTGAATTTTTTTTCCTTTAACATGTTTAGTATTTTATTAATTATTATTTCTGAAAAAACAAAAACAAACAATTGGTCTCTTACAGCCCTTCCACGTCACTTTTTTCATATTTTTTATATATTTGAAAAATTTACTTCAATTTAAGTATTTTAATAATAATTACTTAAATAACAATTGGTCTCTCAAGGCCCTTTCATATGAATTTTACAAAGTATTAAATACATATTTTATTTTAAGTATTTCATTAATTATTAATATAGTAACATAATATGAGGTCATAAAAACTACATGCACCATAATTACAAAAATATTTGAATAAAATACTTTTTAAAATAGCTTCAGATGGAGTAGATCATGTCACTCCTCAGGGTATTTCAACTTCTGGAAACTACTCAAGTCCGATCTCAGTTGGTCTCACCGCTTTGGCGTGGTGCTCATGCAGACTCTCTGGACCGGTGCTGTTCTGGGCTTCGGTGGGTTTGGTCAGCTCCTCCTGGAGTAAGTTCAGCTGGATGGGCGAGCTGGAGCGAGAGCTGGAGAAGAGTGCTGTAGGTTGCGCTGCATCAAGGTCTTCCCCAAACCAAGGGGCAGGTATCGAGTCGACCTCCGCCGAGGCACCCGGTGGCATCCCAGCTCCTGTGACGCTGGACCCTGGAGGATGCCCCTGAGATGGAGATCCATGTGGCATGTGGCAACCAGGCGGGATGTAGCCGCCCATATTAAAGGGAGGCTGGGGAACGACTCCGGGCGCCGGGACGGGCATCCCCTGCGGATACATGCCATTGTTGCCGGGGTACATGGGGTAGTTAGGAAGCAGGACGACCATCATGGGAGTCATGGGAGGCATGGGTTGGAGGTTCTGGACAGCTTGGTCAGGCTGGACCACCATGGGCTGCTGATCTGCACCGAGCAGACTGAAGTAAGGGGCCGACTGCATTGGTACTGCCATGGGTGGCACAAAGCCAATGTTGGATGGCGGGGGCTGAGACGACTCCGAGGACGGCCAGGAGGAATGAGGTGCTCCTGTGGGTCTGGGAAGTGACCAGTATTTGCCCGGCTGGGAGCCGTAGCTGTCGGATAAGTCTTCTGGTTTGGGCCGCTTGTGCTTGTTTGGAGGACGCACAACATCAGCTGAGAGTAGATGGGAAAGGAGAGTTAATGAGTCTCAACACACAATTATACTGCTGTATGGGAGACGTTAATGTTCACGGCTAATGCATTTTATTTCTGTGAAACATTACAGTTAATTTCCTATATTGTGCAGTATAAAATACTGTTAAAAACTGGCCAAATAACTCAAATGTTGTAGTTCAAACTAAGGCCCAACCAATTCAGCTTTTTCAATAGCTGATGCTACAGCCAATGTAATACCAATAAATAAATAAATAAATACAGACCCTGCTCCGATTAAATTTTATATTTATA